CTGCCCCCCTCCCAGCCCACTCGGGGCCCAGCTGGCCCCACTCACCCATTAGCAGCCAGATAGTGAAGCGCACCCAGGTCAGGTAGCTGAGCTTCAGCATGAGACAGATGTTGAGGAGGATGCTGAGGGCTGGGAGCAGGGGCACCATGGGGATCTGAGGGGACAGAGTGGGGCTAGCTGGGGTGCAGAAGAGACTCGCCATGCCCAAAGGGGTAGGGGATGGCTGTGCCGGCCTTCCCCAGCCCCGTGAGCCCTGGTTCATTCCCTGGTGACAGAGGAGGAAGGGGCGAGGGGAACATCCACTTCTGGGGGAGGTACCTGAAACGTGTCCTGCCGGGGCTGTTGCTGGAGAGCCCCCAGGATGAGGAGGCTGAGCAGAAACACAGCACTGCTGAGCAGGAGCAGTAGGATGTAACCCCAGGGTGGGAGGCCCAAGTACTCAAAAATCAGCACGCAGCACAGGGTGATGGCTGAGGTCATCAGGATGCAGAGTGCCCAAGTCACAACCCTCCCAGGGCTGTACCCACTCAGGAAACCCAGGTAGCGCCTCAGGGCAGGCCGCAGCTGTCCAGGCTCGGGGGCTGATGCCTGCTCTGCACCCACCAGCTGCATGTGGTCTGAGACGGAGCTGTGCTCCTTGGACAGGGGGCCAGAGCTGGCCGGGCCTGGGCAGCTGGGTGCAGGAGCCTTCCCGAAGCGTAGCACAATGATGCTGGCAGCCACAAAGTTGTAGGCGAGTAGTGTGCCAATAGACAGGAACTGGACCAGCGCTTCGAGATCCATCAGCAGTGCCAGGAGGGCCGTGAGGATCCCGAACACCATGGTAGCTACCACAGGCACCCGTGTCCGGGGGTGCACGTAGGCAAACATTGGGAAGAGGAGCCTGTCGACTGCCATGGCGTAGATAATGCGTGGCAGGGAGAAGATATTGCTGAGCAGGACAGTGATCATGGCTGTAGAAGAGGGTAGCACGCAGTCAGCATGGCGGACACACCTCTCCTGTGGCCAGAGCATGGGTCGCTCCTTGTGAGTTTGTGTGGGCTCTCTGAGTGGGCATCAGTGTCGGGTACTGTATTGTCAGATCCTTGCCCCAGGAATGAGACACTCCAGTTTAGGTCTCAGGCCCTTCGGAGAATCTGATGAGAGCTGGATCCCTCTCCTCAGGAAACCCATGACCAAAACTAGCATTCTATGTACAGTTTTTGGGGAAGTCCCTCCCAATAAGCCTGGGTAGAGAGTTTCTAATAATTAGCACTTCCCTGGGCCCATTGTGTAACTGGGAAAATCAAGGCACAGATGATAATGCGTTCCCTGGAAGGTTCTGTTCCTTGCCACCCTTCCCAGGAAGGGCCCTTACCACACAAGGAGCCTGCGGCCACAATGGAGCCAGCCCAGCTGTAGCCCCGCCGGTGGAAGGCATCGGTGAGTGCAGAGTCAGGCTCCAGGCTATGCCAGGGCACCATGAGGGTCAGCACGGTGGAGACGAGAACGTAGGCGACTGCCACCAGGCCAATTGCGGTGGCAATGGCCATGGGCACAGCCCGCCTCGGGTTCCGGGCCTCCTCACTGGAGTCAGTGATGATGTCAAAGCCCACAAAGGCATAGAAGCCGGTGGCAGTACCAGCCACGACTCCAGAGAAGCCAAAGGGTGCAAAGCCCCCCTCCTCTACACTCCAGTTGTGGGGCTGAGCCAGGATGAAGCCCAGGATGACGATGAAGAGAATGATGACCAGGTTGATGACTACAAAGGTGTGGTTGAGCCAGGAGGAGAACCGAACTCCACAGGAGACAAAGACAGAGGCCAGAAGGAGGATTCCGGCAGCCAGGAAGTCTGGGTAGTGGCCCATCAGGGGCACCTGCCAGGATCCCAGGTGGGTCACCGTGAAGTTGCTGATTCTGTGGCTGAAGAGGGAATCCAGGTAGCTACTCCAGGCTCGGGCCTCAACAGCGGCACCAATGAGAGATTCGAGGATAACATTCCAGCCGATGAGGAAGGCCCACAGCTCACCCATGGTCCTGTAGGTGTACTGGTAGGCAGAGCCTGTGCGGGGCACACGTGCCCCAAATTCTGCATAGCAAAGGGCTGCCAGGAGGGAGGCCACAGCGGCCACACTATAGGACAAGATCATGGCAGGGCCAGCAACATCCTTGCCCACGATTCCTGTGATCACGTAGAGGCCTGATCCCACCATGCTACCAACACCCATTAGGGTCAGGTCCAGCGTGGACAGACAGCGCCGCAGCGACGTCTCCATGCTGGACTCCTCCAGCGGCTTCAGCCTGTTCAGTTTCTGGAAGAAGCATGCCAGGCTGGCAGCACTGGGCAGCCCGCAGACCATGGCAGGCAGCTGAGAAGAGCACCAAGCCAGCTACACGTACCTGCTGGGGCCAGAGAGGAATGAGCAGCCCAGTCCCGGGCAGCCCTCAATCTCTCCTGGACTGTCCAATCTCTCTCTGTCCCCACCGTGGGGACCTGGGCACCCAAATCGTGGGTCCGCTGCAGGGATGGGATGGGATCAGGAATGTCTGGAAGTCC